GGTGTCCAAAAGAAAGCAAAAACAAATGGTAGCCCCCATCCCCAACGTCCCAACAAGGAACCCAGACATATGCACGTCTTGGGATTTGAAGGCTCACCGGTTCCAAAGGCTCGTGCGAGCCCACCGTCGGCCATCACTGGCGGAGCAGCCGAGTCCTCACCAAACTGGGGCTGACGACTGAGACGGTCAGGATGGAGTACGGCATCGGGGCAAAACCAGCCATACCCATTCTCAAAACGGCCGCATTGGCATCAGGGATCCTCCCCCGAAGGATGTTCGCGTCGAGTTCCGGTTTGACTCGATTGTGCTTGTTCTGGGTCACTGCTCGATTTTGTTCTTTTCCACGGTTTGTGTTCGATTTGACTGTTTGTCTTCTTCCTGCGCTTTCGTTTGTCAGATGACGCAACGTGCGTTTGTACACGATGCCAAAGAAGAAGGAGCGACCGCCACTTTGTTTGCTCCTTCTTTCCTCAACTGGACGAGCAATGACCACCGTCGCCTTGGTCACCCGTCACTGCTTGCAAAAAAATATTTTCTTGCTGTTTTGCATATAAAAACGCTCCCTCGCTATCCTTGACCTTTCTCTCATTCTTCCTCTCAACCACATCCTACTCGTCTTCGTTTGTGCTCTACCTCTTTTTTGTGGCTCTGTGGACGTCTGCCCTCACCTCGCAACAATATCCCGTACATGGACGGCGGCTCCTTCGCACTTCGTTTCGCATCTCCCGTTCTCTCTTCTATTTTGTCGTCTTGCCTCGTCGCCTTGCTGCCTCGCCGCCCAGTTCCCTTGTCACTGCTGTGTCACTTCGCGCCCCATCTCGTCATTCACTCTTCTTCTCACTGTTGCTTCTTCACCATCACTCGCATCTCCGCCTCACAACAGATCAAGACACATTGTCACCATGCCTAGACGGCGGCGGCCTAGGGCCAAAGAGCCCAAGAAGCCAAAGTTCAAGATTCCATTTCTGGACCGCGGCCGCCCAGCCTCGCCATTCTGTACGGAGTCTCGCTGGACCATCCAGCAGCATGAGCCACTTCCACCTTTTGGCACCGGCTACAAAACAAAGCACCGCAGAGGCGAGGAGATCCTCGCACAGATGCGAGAGGAGCAGCTCCCCCAAAGCATATATTGCTTAGACAACCAACCGCCAGGCCCCGAACCGGCCGAAGACGCGCCTCGCCTGGACATTGAGGTCGCAGACGCCCTCCGCCCGCTTTTGACTTGCGGAGCGCACGTCGTCGCATGCCGCATTCTCAGCGGCACCATCCCCTCTCAATCGCCTTCCAGCTCCTCGTCTTTTTCGTCGTCGACTGCAACCGCTTGCCCTCCGCCGCCCTCCTCGTCACCGGCCACGATCGTTGCCAAAATCTTCGACCCCATGTACTACTACCACAATGGCGACTATGACATTGTGGACCTCGCGGACATGGAGTATTGTCGGGAGACGGCGGCCTACCAGCACCTTGTCCGTCAAGGTGTCGACGGCAAACTGTTGCCGGCGTACTTTGGCTCCTACTCGCTCGAGCTGCCACTGACAGACGAGCAGAAAGAGTGTCTGGCCGAGGTCAAAGGCGAAGACCACCCGCTCCTGCAAGTCCCAACACCGGTCCGAAGAGTCCGCCTCATTCTAATGGAGCGTGTCGAAGGCCGACCCATGACCGCACAGCTGGTGTATGGCGACGTGAATGGGATGACGAACGAGGCGCGTCTGGACGTCGTGGCGTCCACACTTGAAGCATATGCCCGGCTCTACTTCCACGGCATCACACACGGCGACCTTGCACCTCGCAACGTTTTCCTCAAGGACGAGAGCGAGACGGTCGACGACCTTACCAAGTGCAAAAGCATCGCTGCCCGACGACTGCGCTTCCACCGCTTCGTGGATCTCGGCCTTGCCTATGTGCTCGGCCATCCCGAGTCGTCCTTCCCGCGTCAACCCACGAGCGAGATGCGGCCCCGCAACCCCATCCGCCTCTTCTGGCACGTCTTCGACAGCGGAGCAGTCAACATGTACTACTGGCTGCCGAAGGAGATGCGCTCTACCGAAACATTCCAGCTTTGGATGTTGCGGCGGTGGTACGGCGACACGCGGTTCGAGTCGGTCGGCGCCGTTCCCATCCCAGTGAAAAACGACGCTGCGTGGGAGCGCGGTGAGGCCCTCACCAACGAGACGTGGCCTGACACAAATGGAGAGGACTTGCAAAGGTGCGACGGCGACGGGGACGGCGACGGCGACGGGGACGAAGATGAAAACGGGCATGGAAATGGAAACGGAAACGGAAACGCCAAGCGCGGATGGCAGCTTCCCAGTGCACTGGCCCGCGCCATGGCAACAATTTCGGGGCTTCGGGCCATCAGCATCGTCATCAAGCAACCAACGTGCGCCATTCCCGACGATAAGACAGTGGCGGCAGTGTGCGACGCGTCCCACACAACGACATCGCGGGCACGCCAGCTCGACGAAATCGAAACCCAAACCACCACCACACCACCAACGCCGCCCACCAGCAAGGCCACTGAGAAGGACCAACCTAAGGGTTTTCGGTGAAGGGGCCATACGGGACGAAAGAACCGAGAAAAGGGATCGGATACCGGATGACAGCAGTGGTCGAGCATTTCCTGCGCGGTGCCATGGACCACCTCGACCACCTAGTCAGCTTGTCAGCTTGTCAAACCTTGTCAGTGGTGGCCAAATCGCACGTTCGTTAGTCAGGTTCCCAAGCTCGCCAAGTTCCCAAGTTCCCAAGCTGGCTGGTGACTGATTGACAGTTATGACGCGAAGTGTGGGTGACGAGTGGCAAAGGATCGGCCTCTTGCAGAGCAGAGAGCATGGCTCAGGGTATGCTACGAGCCAAAATGCCAAGACACTGCCGACAGGGGGCAAATGGGTGGGCGGCTCTGGCCGCTGACTGGTCCATGGCGTGTTTCGAAACGAGTGCCCCCTCGCCCGCCCGCTGTTTCATGTTTGCTCGTGCATGCAAAGAAAAGAGGAGAGAACAAAACAAAAGGAGACAGGAGAGGAGAGAGGATGGCTTTTCGCAACGGAGGAGGTTGTTTCTGTTGGCTGCATGCAGGAAATTTTTTTTTTTGATGGGCTTTTGTGGTGTGTGGTTTGTTTGTGCTTTTGTCTTTTGTTGTCAACCCTTTGTCTCTCTGTGATATTTATTGTATGACTTCTCGAAAACTTTAATTCGAGGACTTGGTAGTCTTTGAACTTGAGAGCTCGCTGGGTTCCTTTTCTACAGGAAGTAATAATCCGCACTTCTTTGTCGAGAATGGTGATAGTTCTAATCAAAAAACACCCGAAAGTAAAGCACTCTAGCTGCGCCGTTCGCCTCCGTACAGGATCCCACCAGCCCACTTTGTCGTCTTGTCCTTGTAGCGGGCACTCTAGCCAAAAGATCTGAGACATGCAGCCCAGCAGCCGTAGACGAAAAGCCTGAGACACAGGACTCGCACCAGGAAACAGGTCCTGAGGTCTTACGGGGACGAGATGAGCCTGTGGCAAACACTTCGGCTTTGTTTTGTTCTTTTCCTTGCTTGGTCTGCCGGTTGACTCGAGACGATCGAGACGATCGACTGTTCAAACGGGCCACAGCCTCTTTCCCCCCTCTGTATGTGTGCTGATGTGGTCGTCCACAGTGTCCTAGAAAACAAGATGTTTCAAAACGTGATCAGCCTGAAATCAAGGAAAACAGAACACCAAATGGCGGTCCAACCAAGAATCGTGCCTCTGTTCCTTCTGTGGCGTCCCGTTGGTTCCCGCTCGATCATTGATCGTCTGTTGTGGGGGAAGAGATCTGGGTCGGGGTGTGGCGGTCTGGGTCCTGGTACAGCGAGACAACCCATTTGCCTTTGACCTGGCCAGGCTCGCGAAAGACCCTGAAAGTACTGTATCTGGTCAACGATCGACGCACATCCTCAACAGGGGGCATCAACAAGGAAGGGGGGCTGGAGGGTGGTTAATAAGTGGAGCCGAGCACGTTGAACAGCGTCACTGCGTCACTGCGTCTCAGCGGGTTTCGTGTTGAGTTGTCGACTTGCGTATGCTCGTTATGTGTGCGTCGCATGGGAACGGGACTTCTGGGGAAAAGATGGACGGGGAGCAAGAAGAGGCACAGGTAGACAAGTAAATTCAAGGAAGTGATGGCGCATCAGAGAAAACTATGACATCTGGTTGCACACAGCGACCTTACAGCACACAGGATACAGACAATGGCCAAGTCACCAAGCCCACCTTTCTGCCTCCTTTACCTTTGTCGTACACTGGGGAATGAAAGAGGAAAAAGAAACATGCAAATATGAAAGGACTGTCAGACACGATGCTCGTCCTCGACATCTTTGCCTAAACCTTGTAAAAAGGCCCTGAAGACAGGGTGCAAAGAAATAACAGGAGCAAGAGGAGGTACAAAGGACAAGGGCCTGCCCTGACAGGAGAAACAAAGAAACAAATTGGAGGCGTCGCCAAAAGACTGTCAGCAGAAGCTCAAACACGCACCCGTCACTGGCGCCGCCCCTTTTCAAGTTCGGGTCCTCTTCTTTCCTATTTCGTTAGCGTCACCAGACTGCCCCAGTAGTGGCCAGAAGGCGGCGTTTGCTACAAGGTACACAACCACTTACACATGCGTTCCTTGAAGTTCATGTCAGAAGACGATCGATGTCCGTTTTGTTGTCCTGTGTTTTTACTCCTGGCACGTCTTGCTTCTCTCTTTCTACCCTCTACGAATATCTATTCTTCTTTCTGTTGATTCGCTTACTTTCCCTTTTCTCTCATATTCCGTTCTTTCCCATTACGACGTATATACATTTCCATCCTGACCTGTGCCTTCCTCATACACATGTCCATTCCGCATCGTGCCTGCAGAGTTCGGTGATGTTGACACGATACGGAACACTGCCACCGACAACGTCTATTTGCCTATGCAACATTTTACACCACTCTGTTAACTAGGAAACAACCTCGCACACGCACACACGCACAAACACACACACACATACCATGGCACTGGACGCACCTGCCGCGGCATACGGCAGCCTGCCACCTGCAAACCTGGCTGCCGCCCGTCAACATGTCCAGACTCTCTCCGCCCGAGACCGTGAAGCTTTGCTCCGTGCCCTGCTAGAGCAGTACGAACATCCCCACGGCCGCTCACAGCGGAGCTCACTGGCGACCAGTACCACGCACTCCTCCAGATCGTCTTCGTCGACCGCCGCTGGGTCAATATCAGCATTCACGTCGTCGTCACTGTTTGACTGCCCGCCGCTCCACGAAGAGGTCGAGGAAGACCTCGCCGTTCCATCAGCAGCCGCCTTGCAAACAGCATCAGCAATTTCTCCCGCAGATCCCAACCGCTGGCCGGCCCCTTCTCCCACACACTCGCAGCGCCTCCGGTCTCAGTCTCTGTCCCTGACGACCTCACAACCACTCCACAAGTCGTTTTCCACTTCTCAACTACAGCAGCCCTCGAATCACGGCCGGTCAAGGTCGTTGTCCTCTACCTCGGATATCCCACTGCCTCTCCAGCTGCCCTCAGCAAAGGAAAAGCCACAACCGGACTGGACCACCGTCGGAAGCATAGCCACGGTAACAGCCACAGCAACGGTCCCGCACACAAGTGAGAAGCAAAAGTCAAAAGCAAAGCCAGTGCTGCGGATAAAAACAAGCGCAGCCGACTTCCGGGACACAGAGCCGACGACGACAACAAAGGCAGCACATTCCTACTGGTGTACAGCATGCGGTGAGAAGCTGGGCGATCGCACAGCATGGATTCTGCACGACGTCGCCTGCCGAGGCAAAGAACGCAGTCTCTCCTGCGCGGACGACAGTCGAGACGCTTCTGGCCGCAACCATACCCAGCGGGCATGGGCCTGCGGCTTCTGTGCCGCGTTCCTCGGCTCGCTCGAGCGCTACCAAAGCCACGTCGTCGGCCACTTTGAACGCGGCCGCACGCTCGGTCACTGGCACTATGCCAACGTCATCTACGGGCTGCTGCACCAGCCGGCCGTGCACAAGCCTTGGAAGCACCTGTGGGCGGCACGCGCAGCTGCCTTGCCGCCTCACATGCGGCCCAAGGCGACATGGTCGCCGGGGTGCTGTCTGCGAGGTCGGGACGAGGCCGAAGAGCCGATCACGCTACAAGAAGCCCTCGAGCTGTTCGACCCAAGCCACGAAAGCGCCTCGGCACTGGCATTACAAGCCGACGCCCTCGCCATTTACATTTCCGTGCCTATCGATGAAGCCGCAGAGAAGAAGCAGAAGAAACATGCACGGATGCATAAATCGGATCCGACGCCTGCAAACGAGACAAAGCCTCAAATCGAGGCAACCAAAGTACAAGCAGCACTACCCACTGAGGCCGACGTTGGGCAGCAAACAGAGCCTGCCCCGGCGCCTGCGATGTCAACTACGAAACTCCTCCCCACTTCCGAGCCTGATGCAACTCCGTCGCCGCCAGCGCCCACAAATCCGACTCAGACCAAGGACGCTCCGCTACCGGCACTTCCATCGGACGCAACTCCGCCACAGCCGATTTCTTTGTCGCCCCCGGACCTTTCCAAGAAGGATGTGAAGCGTGGTTCCAAGCTTTCGCCACGAAAGCCACTGTTTATGTTCCGCTCCAAGAGCCCGTCGTTCTCGCCCGAGTCGATCGCCGGAAAGGTTCTACCAGCCACCAAGGAGGTTCCGGCTCGCCAAATCGATAGGAAACCACCATCTCAAGCAGCGAAGCTCTCGAAGCCGCGCCGCGTCGTATCGACGCCGGCCACAACGGCCGCGCCCGCCCCCTGCCCGAATGTAAAGTCCAGCACCACCGAAAAAGCAACCGCGAGAAATACCACAACAGCCACTGCCACGCAAAGGACGACTATCTCCTCATCTTCTACCACAAACACTCCCCGCCCGCAAAACTGGGCTGACCGGCCCCTCCCTCCTTTGATCATGAACGAGTTTGGCGTCATCTCAAACCGGGCGACAACGACAATGACGGCAACGCCGCCCATCTACACAAGCATGGCTGCTGGGTACTCTTCGGACCAGCCACCCAAACCACCGCCAAAACCCCGAGCATACATACCAGCGGACACAATGGGCGACTGGAACAGCATCGCCACGACAATCGTGGACGACATAATGGGGCCAGTCAATGCTCTTCACATTACCGTGTGATAATCTGCTTTTCTCACACATACCCTATTTACATATATATAGTGATTCTACGGCCATGTTTCTCCTAGGCTGGTCACTTGGTCGTGGCCATCACAAGAATAATATTTTCATGATGGATTTCTGCTGGACAGGGTTCTCAGTCAACAGACGCAACGACTGACATGGATAAATAGAGTACATAAAAGATGGGGAATAAACATGACCACTTTTAGTCAACCACGGACAAAGGTTCTCCTATGGTCGTCACATTCATTTTAGATATCCTTACTATCAGATTTTCCTCCAATCTTTGCCACTGCCGAGACGGCTTGCAACTATTTGTGCAATTTTTATGTCTCTGTTCCTTCTTGGCTCCTCCGGCATATTAGCCAACAGCGAGACAGCCCATGCACAGTTCGTCTACTGCAACAACCTTTTCGGGTTATGTTCTGACTGTATTGCCCAACTGCCATATTTAGCCTCCAGCCGCCATCCGATCCCCTCGTCTCTGCCGGAGATATTCAAACTTTATTTGTGTACTTGTCCCGGTGTAGCTCCATACGAGCCTCGACACATTGCAAATGGACTTTCCTGTCGACGATAAGAACAGTGCAAAACAAGGATAAAATGGATCTCCAAGGTCCCCGTTCTAGACTGTAGCGGGTTTTCGTTGAACGTTTACACGTAGTTCTTTTGTGCTGTTCCAATTTGCCCTTTGTCGCATCCATTCGTACATCACTGCCGATTGCCCTTGTCTGATCTCATTGCAATGCTTCAGAACACAAAGCTCCGTCGTGCCACGGGGGCTTTGCTAGCCGGCCTTCTCGTGCTCGCCTCGGCTCCGACCGTCTCGTGGGCGGCCGCCGTCGACCGCCGGCAATCCGCCGCCACACAGGTCGCCAAAATTGCGTCCGTCGAGAACATTGCCGTCCGCAGCAACGGCCAGATTCTCGCGACCAACATGAACAGCGCCACGCTCTACAGCGTAGACCCCGTGGCCAAAACAGCGGCCACGGCCGTCGTCGTCACGGGCGCGTCCGGGCTCAGCGGCATTGGCGAAGTCGCGCCGGATGTCTTTGCCGTCATTGGGGGCAGCGGCAAGGCCGTTTATAAAGTCGACTTTACGTCCGGCACGCCCCGGACGTCCCTCGTCAAGGCCATCAAGGAGGCCAGCAACCTCAATGGCCTGGCCGTCTTTGACAACGACACGGTGCTTGTTGCCGACGCCGGCAAGGGCAACGTCTACCGCTTCTCGGTGTCGACGGGCGCCTACTCGGTGGTGCTGACGGACCCGACAATGGCACCGTCCGGGGGGATCCCCTTTGGCATCGACGGCATCAAATACAAGGACGGCGTGGTGTGGTACACCAACATCTTCAAGAACTCTTTCCACAAGGTGCCCGTCGACCCGGTCACGGCCAAGGCTACGGGGCCCGTGGTGACGCTGTGGTCGAACCTCATGGGCGACGACCTCTGCTTTGGACCCAACGGTAAGATTTACGTGGCCACCAATGGCAAGAACTCAGTCGTCGAGGTCGATCCGGCCGTCGGCAAGCCCAACCAGGTGGCCTCCGTGACGGGCTCGACATCGTGTGCTTTTGGTCGTACCGAAAAGGACAAGGATGTCATTTACGTGGGCGGCAGCTCGGGTGTGTACTCGCAAACAATCAAGCTATAGGAGTATCGGTTAGGATGAGTGAGCAGATCATTATGGCAATAGAAAGGGACGTGGGGACGCCAGGTGGTTGGATTCTAGTACAATATACTATGTAACTATTCTAGGACTGGGAAGTAGGGCAAAAGTCAGACAAAAGTCGAATCATATCTGTCGGCAGCGGTCTCAAAACAAATCACTGTACACAGAACCTGCCTTGTGCCAGAATTCTAGCCATAAACTGGCACACGCCTCGCAAACGCAAAAGAAATACAAAGACACACAGTTCCTTCGTGTAGGAAGCAATGTGATGGAGGAGTGTCTTTATGCTGGCAGAAAATCAGACCATGGCAGAAATCTCGATCAGAAGCCTCGTCCACACCAAGTCGTCCACGCTGCCCCCCACGATCGGCGTCCCGGCCCATTGATGAGGTGACACGATCAGCTACTCCTGTTCATGCTGTGCATCCGCAGGGAGCTGGAGGTTCTGTTGCGTCTTTTTTGGGCGAATCGCTGCCATTGTCGGAGCCTTCCTGTGGGGGTGACTGGCCGCCGTTACCGGGTGTCTGCCCATCTTGTGGCTTCGCCGAAGTAAAGACAAAGGTCTCGTCCTTGGTGGCGGCCCTGTACGCATCCAATAAGTGGAACGGGTTCAGCTGCGGCGTAAAGTAGAACAGAATGCTGAATATGTAGCGAAGAAGACCTTGAACACAGAGGGCCTGGACTTCCGATATCAGAGTGCTGAGGGTCTGGAGGATCTGGATAATTTGGTAGATCTTCGCCATCAGTTTCATAGGAGTAATGTCTTCCGAGTATAAAAAGAAGAAATAGTCAGCTCTTTGCATTGGAGATAGCTTGAGACACGCTCGGCGAAACAGATGTGTCTCAAGCGGCATGCAGCTAGCTATGGGGTGGAGACTGCGAGGGTTGTTTCTTTCTCAGCAGTCTTCTTTGTCTACTTACTGCAGTTGTGCGGATGCGGGTTCGACATTGTGAAAAGTATTTAGGTGCTGCGAGTTTGTTTCGAGGGTGAAATTTCCACTCCGTGGATGATGTGATTGTCAAAATGTTAGTGTTGGCCAAATAGATGACGACGAGGTGCAGAGATATAGACAACTGTCGTGGCCAACGATACTTGTAATGCTGTGATGCCGGTGGTGAAAGGAGAGCAAGATATGTTTGTTTGTTTTGGTTTCCAATCGCACCAGTCTTTCTCTTAGGTCATGTTTGTTGGAAGGGGCGAAATAGGCAGGAGATGTGCTGGCTGGTCGCCATTGGTTTACTTTGGTCGTGCCTTCCCTTTTGTGCTTTGTTGCTCGCCTTCCTGTCATATTATGCCACCGCATATAAACATTGGTGTAGATGCATAAACAACGGTCGCTCTTACCCTTTCGAGGCGAAACGAGCCAGTCTTTACGAGACCTAGCTTGTCGGGCAGGTATCTCAACGACTCTGCTCCTTCCGCTTTCCGTGTTTCGATACAAAGAAGGAGCAATGAAAACAAAGGGTCTCTTTCCTTCCCGCATCATGTGCGTCGAATTGGTAACTGCCCACGAAACGCTGCTGCAGCTAGTTTATACATAAGAAGAAACAGCATCAAATCCATCCATTCCCTGGCACTGACCTTAACTTTCACAGTCAACTTGAACCTCACTGTCGTAAATAGTCTGCTCCCCAAACCCACACTGCTTTAGCTGCTACCACGACCACTCTACGCTGTTTCTTGACTGTCAGGCGTTTCTCCGCCAAATTACGTGCTACGTGCATATCACTCTTGGTCTGTACTCATCTTTCGCCTATCGCCCCATAGATCGCATAGTCGATCTGAAGTTTTGTTGCCTCTTTCCAGCCCATGCTGACGATCCTTTTGCTAGCACAACGACTGTGTTCCAGGCAAAGGCCCAAAATCAGCTGTGCACAACTTCGAGCTATGGCTCTTACTCTCGGGCACTGTATGTCTCGCTTAGTCCCCCCATGAGCGCAGCGCATATCCAAGACCCTCGGGTCCACTGATGTGCATTGTCGATGCTAAAGCTTACAGACCGCCACTTTTCAAGGCGAACGATTCGATTGGGTCGTGGTCGCACCATGTACCAGCCGCCAGAGCGTCGGAATATGACTTTTAAGCAAGGAAAACGCGGGCAGATAGCATCCCAAAAACAGGTATGATACTGGTTTCCGTCAACAGCCACAGAGATCCAACGCCATTTCACTGTACACCGACGGTATGTCGCTGATGATCCCATTTATACTAGCCAGGCTAGATTTCGTATCAAACAACCCGAAGACGCTTGCCCTCCCGACCCTCGTCCACCATTCCGATCTTACCATCTTTTACGGTTGGTTCTTTTACGGTTGGTTTACAAGCAGGAAGTACGCCAGTAAGACTATCTACACAGCATGCGGCTAATACAGAAAAGAAAAAGAAAAGGAAAGGAAATAAGATAAAGAGACGACTTGCAGCTGCGGTACGGGCTAAAGCCATGCTTCGGCAGAACTGATCCGTCAGCCATCCGACATCGTCGGATCGGCCCATGTTCTTCTGCCCGCAAAAAGAAAAACTAGAAGCTGGAACGCATCCAATCGGATTATGACGAAACGAACCCTTCTCTGTTTACGGCTGCAAATGGAGCACAAGACAGGTCGGCTGCACACAACGAATGACCAAGACAAAATCGGCAAAGATTCCGCTGCGGGCGTTTCGGACATACATCCGTTTTGTCGATACACCGTCTTTTTGTTCTCATTTGTCCAATGGGGCATTGCCAAACAGGAAAGGTGCAGGCCAAGAAAATATCCAGAATGGAAGAAGAAAAGCAAAACGTAAGTTTGCTGTCAACCTCGCTGGAAATCAAAACTTATCGATCGAGGTTCTCAATCTGACCCAATTGGTGCTCCATTTGGTCTAGCTTGTCGGCACCTGTCCTGCACTTGTTCTGCACATACCATGCATTTGCAACCACATAACTCAGACAGGCACGGAATGTTCGGAGAATGAAATCCAGCAAAATTGTACATTTAACTGCTGGTCTTCAAGCATAATTAAGCATGCGCCCAAAACGGCTCTCAGGTCGCTCCCTAGTGCTGATGGCTAATGCAGCAGCCAGGACACGCGATTGTGCAAGAGGGTCCAGCAGTGTCCTGGTCGTTGGAGGCAAGAAACCCATGTATTCACTCGTGTAAGTCGCCAGTCACAACTAGTTTTGTTTTTTCGTCCTTGAAGTCGTGATTGCGTTTCTCTTCGTCACCTTTGGGACATATTCGGAAAGTTATTCGTGAAGCTACAAGTAGTAGAGATGGGAAGGAAAATGACAGTTGACAAGGACAAACTAGGAGGACCTCAATAGACCCATGAGGGATGACCCGATGTACGACGTCAGCCACGTACAATCCCGAATCAGAGCCTAGGCCTCAAGAACATTAGAGAAGTCGTGCATATGCGCAATCCTGCTTTTCTGCACGATTTCGCCTTTTCTTGGTTCTGCCGACGCCCATTCTGACCGTCAACGAACCACCTTTAAAAGCCACCACCCTTATATTCGGGCAATTCATCTCGAGACTTAAGACGACCGTCGCGAAACAATCAGCCGACACCTTTCCAGCGGCCCAGAGCAGAAAAAAAAAAGAAAGAAAAAATCATAAAAGCACATGGGCCAATGGCACTGCGGTCCCCGGTTCTCCCCCAAATACACTACGACATCGTCGGGGGAGACTTCCGAGCAAAAACGAAAAGTTACAGGCAGATGCACACCGAAAATTAGATTGGAAAGGAACAGCACCGGGGCAGATGCCAACGAATGAAAACCTAAACGACCTGCAGAAGCGAGTAGAGGGAGCCTCCGTCCTTTAAGGACTGCATGCCAAGCTCATTCGTAGGTCCGTTCCGGACCCACTCCAAAACTCGGAAAACAAATGTCTGACCAAAGACGTCAACGCAACTTAGGGTAGTTGGTCAGGAAGCTACTCCGCAACGATTCTTTATTTTATCAAGGGCCTTGAATTATCAAGCGTCGCGGGTTCGATACGCAGCGTCTGCCTCTGCTAGCCAGGAACAATGTTCACCGACTTTGGACAACAGGTATGACAGCTGCCAATCCTATTGTGTGACATGAACCGAACAGTCCAGGTGACCAACAGAAAATGTCGGGCGGTGCACAATACAACAGAGACAGAAGAAAGGCGAGACAGCGATTCGTCTGTTGTCACCTGGGGGCCAAATCCACATGCAGAAAATATGTGCATCGGGCAACGCACAAAAGTGCAGTCAACATAACAGAGCAATGGAGGGTGATGGTCAGGCCAGTGGGGCGTAGCTGTGATTTTACAAAGATGCAGTCATCCAATGCGGCCTGCTGCACTCCTTTATGCGTCTACATCACAGCTATTACTTCGAACTTGTTCGCCAACCTCCATTGGCCTCGTACTACTACACTCTTTCACCTTCACACCCTTCATACGCCACAAAAGCCCAGCAAGTGCTCATCTACCTGGTCTGGACCCTCGCCTGCGGCCCCGTTTAGCAATATCTTTGAGTATACAGAGTAGGCTCTTACTCGAGCGTTTCTATTTTGCTGACGAGTGCATCACTCCACCAACAGACAACCACACCAAGATTAACGGCCAATGCCCAGACAAGGCTAAAGGATGCCAGCCAGGCGGACAAAAACGGGGTGTGCACAACCCCAACGGACCAGACATGCGGACGTCATTGTCGTATTTGGGAACAACGTTTCAATATCTAGGCAATGCTGCAGGTGCGCTAAACCGACCTTGGCCGTATTTCTTCTGATATCCGTGAGTTTTCGCTCCGTGTCCTCATGCTCGCTCTGATGGGTCGGATATGGGATGCGCCTCGCGTGATCCTTCATGTAGTGGTATCTATTTCTTTTATTTTTTATTTTTTTGCCTGTTTAATATTTCCAGCATATTGTAGCTTACTGCCACTTATACTATGCTTGCTCCCAAAAATAATTGTTTAGCGTTCCATTTTATCTCGCGCGCCTATTTGACGCACACTCTGTCCCATGCATGGCGAGAACTGTACGGTATCACTCAGGCGGTGTCATGTGTTCCTGTTTTCTGTATGATTTACGTTGTGCGTCGTATTCCCTCCAGCTGGAGCAGGAATACCGCTTATTGACCCAGCCTCATCTTTGTACCAACCCGACCGCCGTTCGATCTCCACCTCGACCACAACCTTCAACACCCAGCGATCGTCACATCAGCTCATGTCTTCCTCCCACCGCTAGTTCTTCTTGCCGCATTCCTTGTATTGTATCCGCGACAAATTTATTCGTCATTTCAATTTTTTTTTTATCACGACCACAGCTCAATCTCCGATCTACCCTTGCTTGGACGCTTCGATACACGCCCTCTGGCGCGCTTGTTGCTGTCGTAATGAAAAAAAAAAAAAAAAAAAAAGGCAACGGTGCGGCATCAAATCTCCGTGCGCGCCACATGGAACAAATGCCGCCATTGGCCATTTAGACGGGTAGTGTCGACGGTCCATTTTCAAAAGTCAGTTGTTCCCAGGTGAATCGACAAACGCGGCAAAGGACGTCTACGTTTGAGCGACAAGCTTGTCAGAAGCTCGATCTCGTCCACCACGCTCTGTTCCTCTTTCTGTCTCACCTTGCCACAGCTCACCGTGGGGGTGCGGCTAGCAAACGACCTTTTCTTGGTTTCAGCACTCGCATGCACGCCATACGAAATGTATGATACCCTAAAACCAGGCCAGGGTAAAAAAAAAAAAAGAAAAGAAAAGCACTTTACCTTTCGAACGTATGACAACAGGCAACGACTGCAAAGTGCAGATAGCTGCAGCCCTATTAGCTGGCTTACTTTTTCAAGTCCAAGTACGGAGTGCCATTGACTCAAGGATGGCTCTTTAACTCATCGGAAGCAGGCCACCCTCGTCAGACTCTGTTTTGTATAGGACGCCTCCTTTTATTGGTTTGCCAGTCGCCTCACCCCTCCCCGTTTCCCTTTTCG